AAAAGCCATCGACTTCTCCCAGAGCCTAGGCCACATGGGTCACCCCTACTTGGCCGCGACCCAGCTACTGCAGTGATGGGAACCACTCCGAATCGCGCCCTGCACTGGGGTTCAGGCAAAGCCCCCGCCCACACGGCCTGCACACTACTACCTGGTATCCCCCACCATGGGCTTGTACCCCACGAAGTCGACATTCCGTTCTCGTCGTGCAGCTCCAGACGCATCTACCACGCGGCCTCTCATGTCGCGCTCCGCTCGTGCTCGGGCGCCGAGAAGCGGGTCCTCCAGGAGTCTGTCGACCAGGACGTGGGGCCCCCGTTGCTCGGACAGCTCGGCGACGAAGACGACGCCTCCCTGCCCGACCGCTGGGCCTGTTGGCATGGGCGCGCTGAGCGCGCTTCGATGGCCGCCGCGGAGAAGGGGGCCATGTCCGTCGAACGTGAACCCCTCTACCCGTCCGACGGCCCACTCGCCCGAGCAGCGGCTAGACCAACGAATCTCCCCCCGCCGCCTACATCGCCGCCTGACCGAGTCCACGCGGCAGGGGGTCACCCACGCAACGAAGCTCTCGGTCCTGCTCCTCCAGCAGGTTGCTCGAGCGGCTTCGGACAACACCCCCACCCTCCCAGCCACGGGCCACCCAACCGACGGCGACGCCCTCGACTGGATCTCACGCGTCATCACGGCACCGCAGCAGATTCAGCAGTAGCAGGCCTCAAAGGCCTGGAGACAGCGCTTCGCCACTTGGCCCAACGAGGTCTGGACGGCGGCCATCACTGTCTTTCGGAGCCCCCAACCGGCAGCAGCCATGACGGTCGAGGACACGAGGAAGCAGCGGCACGCCCAGTGGTGCCCCGAAGACTACACACCCGACACGATCCCCCACGCTTGGAGACAGCACGCCGCCTACAAGGTCCTCCCACAGTCCAGCCCCCCTCCGACTGGGAGCCCGACCTCGAGGATGTCGTTGCCGCGATCGAGAAAGCCAAGGGATGTCCTGGTCTAGACGACTGCAGCTACCGCGAGCTGCGCGCCTGGTCCAGACTCTACCCCACCATCGTCAGAGAGCTGTTCGACCCGTGGCTGGACACCTCTCGGGAAGCAGTCCGTCTTTGAGGACGCTTGCCCCAACGCCTCCTCGACCTCTGCTTCTGCCGGCGCATTGCAGGGATCCCGAAGGGCGAATCCGACGCCAGACCCATCGCAGCGGCATCCTCGCGCAGACCGCCCCTGCGCCCCTGGACGACCAGTGGGCCAGCAGGCTGGGCACCTCGGCGTCGTGCGCCATCTCTGTCTGGCTTCGGGACTGCGTTGAGGCTACGGACGGAGCCGAGACGGATCTCTCCAGGGCCTTCGACAACGCGGGACACGAGCTGGCACTCGAGGCACTCGACGCGTCGGGCGCCCCCGGCATCGCGATGGCCACTGCTTCGCGGCCTGGAGGAGACCGCGGTGCTGCTCCATCCAAAGTCCAAGGTTCGCTCGTGGGCCCCAACGACCCCGACCGCGGCCTTCCCCAGGGCGACAGCGCGGCGCCCAGCTCTCTCATCGCCACGCCCACGCCGAGGCAATCGCAACGCCGAGGACACTGTTTCATGGATGACCGCAGCCTGGCCAGTCAAGCACCTGCCCTGCTACAAGAAGATCTGGACGCCAACGCCGCCTTCGACAGAAGCATTGGTTACGCTGCAAATGCCGCCAAGCGCCAGAGGTGGAGCGACTATGATCCAACTCCTACCCTTATCGAGCACCTCGGAGTCTCGGCGGCTCCGACTGACGTCACCATCCCCACCGTTCCTCGCCATGGCTGGAGTCAAGTACAGACGGCCATCGACGCGTTGAGTTCGATCCCAGGAAGTCAGCGTGTCCGCATAAAGCTAGGCTTCGCCTACGTGCGTCCGAAGTGACTTGGGGCTAGCCCCGTCATGTCGCCTCCTTGTGTGTCCTTCGCTCGGTCCATGGCACGCGCCTGCTGGTGTACCACTTCCAACTGGTGGTGCCACGGCCGAGGGCGGGCCCAGCGCGTCCTACTACACCCTGCCTTCTCAGCAGCGATCTTCGGCCTCGAGAAGGCCTAGGATCCCAAGTTGATTTGGTCTGGTTTCATTGACACGTCCATGTCCTTGCATGCTGATGCCTTGGGTCGGCAAGTGCATCAGGTTCTTCTCCGCCGAGGGGTCTGTCTAGAAGCTGAGCCACAGGGTGATCAACACATCCACAAGACAGCGCACAGCCTCATCGATGTGCAAGGCAGATTCTGGTCGGGCTCCAAGCGCGCAGAGCATGCTATCCGTCAGATCGCCAGAGCGTGCTGCTTGCAGCCCATCAGCCTCTCCCACTGGGACGCCGAGGAAGCCGAAGGGGTCGACCTCGAGGCATCCTCCCATCAGACCTTCACTGAAATACGTAGCCTCGCTCACAGACGAGGACCGCGGCCTGCTGGTCATCTACCGTAGCGGCGCGGTTACGTCAGAGACAGGACGTCGGACAGGTTTCCCATGCAAACATTGCGGGAAGCCCTTTCCGAGTTTCGGTCATCTTGTCACAGAGTGTCCCGCCCATCAGGGCGTTCGAGACGTTGCTGTTTCGAAGTATACCCTCCCCGGGCTGTTTTGGCGCTCGTTCCCACGTGTGGCGGCTAAGTCCGGTTGGATAACGTACTCTCTAGGTGAAGATGTTCAAGACCGTGCCAGATTGCAGATTGCCGCGTGCACCGTCGGCACCTCCATATTTATTTGCAGCTGGGCATCGAAGCTACACTTATAGGTGCTACGCCTCTGCCATCAGGGCCGAGACCACGCGTGGCGCTGGTTATGTGATACTGCAAGTGTGAGTTCAGATCATCAGACAGTTTACATCATTCAATATTTTATCTGATGTGGACTGTAACATCGACGAAGAGGTAATCGTGGACGAAGCGCGCGGCTGCATTTGAACAGAACGTCAGCGCGAGCGAAGTGCGCGCGTGGTTTCGGTGTGCACGCACGCATATATGCATGGGTGGACATATGGAACAGTTACCAGTCGCTTTCACTTGTTGCTAGCGTCCTGCGATCACCTAGCCGATCGGGCCCCCACTGCCAGGTTGAGCCTCAGGATCACGGCCCACAAGGCGACATTGAAGAAGAGAAGGCGTGACGGATGGGCAGCGTGGGGGGGGGGGCAGGGATGGGGAGGGACGGTGATGTTGCAGATAAGAACGCGGAGGAGGGGCAGGACGACGAGGGGAGAGGGGTTCTATTTGGACGCCCGAAATGGGTACGGAAAGAATGGGTACGAGGCCCAACAGCAGTTCCTGTTCATTTTGGACAGGGCTCGCTGTCCGCGCCGCAGCGGCCTGTGTCCATTTGAGACAGAAGGCCGCCTGCCCAACAGCGGCCGCTGTTGGTTTGGGACAACATTTGTTGTTGGGCATTGTATCCATTCTTTCGGTACCCATTTCGGGCGTCCAAATTCTAGCTGGAGCATGGGGGAGGAGGGAACAGACGTCGGTAAGGAGAACGAAAAGAAACGCGGACACGAGAAAGGCATACGTTGATGTTGGCCGATCGCTTCTGTATGCAATTAAGGCAGGAACTCAACCGGCCCACGGCCCCCGTCTTGTGTTACCCGGTGCGAACAACCAGCCGCAGGACTGGCCAGAGCCCAGAACGATTGCGGAAAGAGACAGACGAAGAAGAGCGGGACAGAACCCTGCTGCACGGCCTCAGACGCTATGTGGTTGGCCAATGAAAGAAGGAAGGAGGGGTGCGGGAACCAACACTGGTCTGTCATCGTGGAACATCCTGGCCAGCTCGAGGCCGTGTTTAGATCTCCAAGGGCCGCCATGGAGCCATCCTCGGGCTCGTCGGGGCCATCTTGAGGAGTTCTCGCAAACGGACCTTCCCACACACGGTCCCGGTGGGGCTCGTCGACACCCCCTGGCCCGCGCTCTAGAGCCTAGCTCTAGATTCTTAAGCATGCCCCGAGGGGCGGGCCATGACGGCCACATGTTTTGGCCGATGTCTGCGGGACCACACACACCCTGGTGCGCTGGGCCGACGGATTCCGCTTTTGCTCTTTCCATCAAGCATGGTGGAGAGGCGTACTGCAGAGCAGAGACCAGTTTCAGCATGCTGATTGCGAGGGCCTTACGGCCCGTGCCGCCGACCCTGAAGACGACGAAGATGAAAACGAGCGGCGGGGGGGTAGGAGGCGGAAGAGAAGGAGGAGTGGGGGGGAACAGGAAGGGTGGAGGAGGCGGATGAGAGGAGAAGGGGGGAAGGATGAGGAGGAGGAGCAGGAGGAGGAGGAGGAGGCAGAGGAGGAACAGGAGGACGGGGAGCAAGGGGGAGGAGGAGGAGGAGGAGGAGGAGGAGGAGGAGGAGGAGGAGGAGGAGGCGTTGTGGCATCCTGGAGCTTTCTGGAAACAGCTTTTCATGGTTTCGGGGGCGCTCGAGGGGGAAACATATCTGGGCAGTGTCCTTTGGCCGTCTGGGGGCCCCTTTAGGCCGTCCTTAGGCGTTCTTGGGCTGTCGTGTGGGGCTTGGGCCGTCTAGGGGCGCTCTTGCGGATCCGTCGTGGCGACCCCCCCCTCCTCCAGCGCATCTACAGAGGGCCCCTCTGCAAAAACCGCAAACGGGGGACCCCCCCCTCGGGACCCCCACCCCACACACACACCGGGGAAAGGACAGGGAAGGGGCTTCCCTTTTGACGTGACTACGACGCGGGTCGATTTCCGTCAATCCCCGGACTCCTCCCCCCGACGACGGGAGAGTGGTCTCTCACCCCCGACGGGGAAGGATAAACAGAAAAGGCGTCCCGTCGACGGGACCAGACAGACACCCCACACACACCGACAGGGTCGGTGGATTTGTCCTGCCCCCTGTTTCTCAGGTGCGCGTCGTGCGCCACGACTATATTCCCGAGGAGGCAGCCAAGACGCAGCTGGAGCTCAAGTCGCAGGAGCTAGTTAAGATCTTCGAGTTCACGGAGACTGGCTGGGCAGCCGGGATAAGAATATGCAAGACAACCAAGGCGGAGATCGGCGAACCTGGCTGGTTTCCAGCAGGACGTCCGCCCAATTGGGCCTTTCTTTAAGAGGCCTCCGTTATGGCTGGCAATCCGATCGTCCCCTTCCTCCCCCTACTCTCTCCTCTCCTCTCTTTGGGGGGGCATCTCGTCAGCAAGGGGCAATGTCTATACAGTGGAGACCCATGCCAAGAAATACCCTGCTTGCCTCCAGGGTACCTTGGGTTTCTTGGGTTTCGATGGCCTGTCCGTGGAAAGAGTGACGTTCCCATATTACAAGAAAAAACAATGGACGTCCTGGGGTCTTATGGTTGGGTTTCTTGTGGGAAGTTTCTTGTGGTCGAGCTTCTGCTGCACTCCAAGACAAGCAGAGTGGTGCCCCGGCGGGCCCGTGGCTGGCCGCCGGGAGCGCCGGCGTGCGCGTGGCCGACGGCGCCAGCACCTCGACCAGAGCTACCCATCACCGGGGGCCAGAAGAGTCGGCGGCGTGCCGAGCGGGGAGGCGAGAGGTCGAGCAGCGGCGAAGCGTCCCGGTTTGCCTATAGGCCCGCCAAACAATGTTCTGATAATTGGTTGTGGTTTGCACGAAACGTTCTTAGAACATTTCTGGCTGATTCTCTTTCGTTTTAGCACATCGGGGTTTTGTTCGAAGAACATTGTCTTCGTTGTTAGAACGTTTTTTGGTTCGAAGAACATGTCGTGGTAGGCCGATCGGAAGACCAGGACGATCGGTCCCTGCTCAAAGATGGGGAGCTGGCCTTCTCAGAAGGCAGCGGTGGCTTCTCAGCAAGGCCCAAGGTTCTCTGAGCCTTCTGAGCAGGCCCGCACCATGTGCCTTGCCCTGTGGGCGCGCCGCCGAGAGGAGAGGGGAGATGGGGATGGTCGGACTGTGGGTCATAACGGCGTGGCTTGAGTAATCGAAGGCGCCTCTGGCGAATCACTGCCGCCCTCTGCGTCTGTGGACTGCCTCGGTGGGGTGTGTTCGATGCAAGAGCTCGACTGGCAGAGCGCTGTTTCCCACCGAGGTTGTCTGGAGAACTCCGAGTACACGGGGGATCAAGCGCTACCCGAGAATGATTGCAACAGGTTTTCTGCATTGTTTTGGGGCGACATTGTGGGTCTATTGGGTTGGTTAGGTGATCTCCAGCCTGAGAAGCGCGAGAAGGTGATCTCCAGCCCGAGAATGTGATTGTATGACTGCTTTTCCGGAGCCTACAAGGGTCTCTCTTGGGGCGCTTTGGGACCCTCTTGGATGCAATTTGGAGTCATAGTGAGTCGTCTTGGAGTCAGATTGAGTCGTCTTGGATGCAATTTGGAGCGATATTGGGTTATTTGGGAATCATATACGTAAAGCTGTATTGGACGCATGTGTCTTGGCGGCGTATTGATGGGGTCTTGGGCCCGAACAAACAATGACGTATGGGAAAAAGGGAGGACGGTGGATCCGCTGGCAGGGAACATAGGGCTTGTGGGAGGTTTTGGACAGGTCCGAATCCATCTATCCATGAACAATTCGGCACGCCAGGCAGTGGGAACAGACCATATGCGGGCAGCGGACCTAAGAGGCTGCACCCTCTGCCGCCAGCCCCCTCAGGCTGAGCCATCTGGCAGCTGCAGTGGGCCATTTTGGGTGCCTTCTTGACGCCTTGTGAGGCCATCTTGGGGCCTCTCAGGAAGGTCTCGGAGCTTTTAGGCCATCGGAGGCAAGATTGGAGCCTTCCTAGGCCATCCTGGGCGATCTCGGCAACATCTTGGAGCTGTTTGGAGCCACCTTGGGGCCGTCATCTCTGATGTAGTGGAAGCCCGGCCCTGGGCGGCCGGCGGGGGGACTAGGATCACCAGGGTCGCTTGGAGTACACGAAGTTCCCCCCCCTGACCCCCTGGGCTCAAGTCGGCCCGAGAGGGCTCCAAGATCACGTTCGAGTTCGGTTAGACAGCCCCCAGGGCAGCCCAAGAGGGCCCCGAATCATCCCAGGAGGTCCCGAAGGCAGCTTGGTTTATACTACTGTTGTTTCCCGGCCCTCGGCGGTTGCATTTTTCGCAAGTTGCCAGGGGCCTCTCTTGGGGCGCATGCAGGTGATGACGGTCGTCGGGCCACAGGCTTTTGAGAGAGGCTTTGAAAACATAAAATGCGATGTGGTGGGTGTGGGGGGTGGCTTGGGTCGCCTTCACAAATCCATACTTTCCAATATGTGTTTGTTCCAACTATTTCAGCGTTCTCGCTTTTCTCTGGCTTCAACACTCCAAGACAGCCCCGGGAGAGCCCCGATTCGCATCCGAAACGCCTTCGAGAGGTCCCAGACGGCCCCAGAGGCGTTTCAAACGGCCCTAGAGGCCCCCGATGCGTCCCAAGAGAGCCCCCAATCGATGCCATGAGGACCCCAGAGGCAACACTCATTGATTTATCTGTCGTTTTCGAATGGTTTCGCGTCCTCATCTTTTTGGGTTCCGACCCTCCAAGATCGCCCCAAGACTGCCCCAAGACAGCTCCAGGAGCGCCCCCCCAGATACGTAGCTCCGAGACGGCCCAAGATGGACCCAAGACAGCCCCTAGAGGTCCCCAAGAAGGCACCAAGACGGCCCCGGTTTCCAAGACGTACCAACAGGGCCTCAAGAGATCCCCCAGACGGCTCCAAGACGGGGCCAGGAGGCGTATTGGCATTATTTTAAGGGGTTCCGACTCCGAGTCTGCCTCCAATGCCCTCCCCCGCAGGTATCCCAAACGTTCCCAAGAGGATCCTGAGAGGCCCCCAAGAGCCCTCAAGCGGCCCCGAACAAGCTTCCAAGAGGCCCCTAAGAATCATTCCGCCAGGCTCCGACAGGCATCCAAGACGGACGTCCCTGGCACGGGTATTGAACCAACGTCTGCATGTATGGTATATACAGCATGTATATGTATGTGAGTGAATTGAGTGTCGTGCGTGTTGTGTGTGTTGTGTGTGTGTTGTGTGTGTGTGGTGTGTGGTGTGTGTTGTGTGTGTTGTGTGGTGTGTGTGTTGTGTGTTGTGTGCGTTGTGTGTTGTGTGTTGTGTGTGTTGTGTGTTGTGTGTTGTGTGGTGTGTGTTGTGTGTGTTGTGTGTTGAGTGTGGTGTGTGTTGTGTGTGTTGTGTGTGTTGTGTGTTGTGTGTGTATGTGTATGTGTGTGTATGTGTATGTGTGTATGTGTATGTGTGTATGTGTGTACGTGTGTATGTGTGTATGTGTGTACGTGTGTATGTGTGTATGTGTGCATGTGTGCATGTGTGCATGTGTGCATGTGTGTATGTGTGTATGTGTGTATGTGTGTATGTGTGTATGTGTGTATGTGTGTATGTGTGTATGTGTGTATGTGTGTATGTGTGTATGTGTGTATGCGTGTATGTGTATGTGTGTATGTGTGTATGTGTGTATGTGTGTGTGTGTGCGTGCATGCATCTTTGCATGCGGAAGACAGGATACACTTAGCATGGCGGAGGGCCCCACCCTGATTACGCAGCTGCGTGTAGCGCTGGGCACGGCCCTCGCTCCATGTACTGCGCGGCGCGGGGCCGTGCGGATAGGGGGTTGCTGCGGAGTTTGCGCGCGGAGGCGCTGCCGCAACTTCCTGTGGGGCACCATCCGCGTGAAACCGTAGGTGGAGCTTGTGCAGCACGGCCCGCGTGGGGGTGCGCCGAACTGAGCGAGAGGACATCGTGCGAAGCTGCCCATTGATACAATAGGTGGAGCTCCCCATGGGCCACGATCCGCGCCAGGGGTGTGCCGAGATGTGCGGGGGTGGCAGCATGCGAACTTTCCGTCTGGGGCCGTCGGGTCTATCCATTGTTCCCGCTTTCCTCCACCGTGGTCTTCCTCCAATCTCCTTCTTCTCTCCTGCCTCATGTACGCACCCTCTACAGTTTCCCAATACGAATGTAACATTCGGCCGGCGGCCCTTCAGTCGGCCCCAGCCGGCCCTTAAGTCGGCCCCAGCCAGCCCTTCAGTCGGCCCCAGCCGGCCCGTAAGTGGCCCCAGCCGGCCCTTCAGTGGCCCCCCGCCGGCGAAGGTGCTTCGATTTGGGTTCAGGCTCGCCCGAAATACAGCCCCGTCGGGCTCTCACATTTCAGGTCCCGGCCAGGATATGGTTAAGGCACCGACAAATTTCCCAGCTACATCCTTTTGATGTCTGGTATGTCCGCGGCTCCCGCCCTTCAAGATCCTACTGGCAGGAAACTTAAACCTCAAGGAAGCAATCCTGAAGCACCGGACAAGAAAGCTGCAAAGATGGACACTGTGGACACGAACGCGAAGCAAAAGACCTTGGACATTGACGGCGAAGACGAAGATAATCTTTCTGATGATGGAGAAGACGAACCGGTAACTATGAAGGCCATGCAGAAAATATTTCAAAAACATCTTGCTTCGACAATGCGTGTTGTTCAAACTCTTGGATACGACTTTCAAGATTTAAAAATACCGTAAAGAAGTACCACGACGAGAACAATGCCCGGGTGACAAAAATGGAACACAATATCAACGAGGTTCAACATCATGCTGATTCCACGCCGGCATACATCGACAAATGCATGGAAGAGATCCGGACAGAAATGGAAACACTCCGCATTACGACTTCGACAACATCTGCCGGAAGCGGGCAAAACAATTCTTCAATTTTAGTTTTTGGTGGATTATCGCATGCCTCAGTAATCGACGCAGAACGTTTGGTAATTGCCACGCTAAAGAATGGCCAATGTGATTTGCCACTGAAGAGCTACAAGAAAGGCCCACCCGAGGAAGATTTCAAAGGCATGTTGTTCACAGAGTTTGCTTCACAACACATTTGCGAAAAAAAACATTGCCGATTCTGCAAACCGCGCGTGCCGAACAAATGCCGAAAGATGGATCCCGCAGGGTGTGGTGCAACAAAGACACTCCTATGGAAAGGAGAGTTGCCGCATCCACATTACTTGGTTTGCGGTACCTTCTTACAACACTGGGCTTCGAGAAAAAATATCTCAAAGTCGACGGAGATACTGGCACATTGAAGGCCGGAGGGAAAATGGTTGTCAAAGTATCCGTTGATGATTACACGCTCAATTTGGAATGGATCAACGAATCGTGGAAGACTTGGGAAGATCTCCAAACAGCTCCCGAATGGATTGAATTACAACAACAAATCAGGGACAAATTGGAAAAGAATGCAGCATGTGCTTCAAAGGGAATGGGCAAAGGGAAACCAACAGCTTGAAGGAGCCATGGGTACAGAGGCATAGTTTCACCCCCCAGGAGACCCCCGGAGATTACAACTCAATCAATTAATATTGGAACGAACGATTTGGGCAAAGTTTCCATCCGTTCTGTTCCATCTCCAATTGCGAATCCAGATTCAGAAATTCAGGCAATACAAACAATGGAATGTGGAAGTTGGAACGTTTGTGGACTCACAGAAGTGAAAGTATGGGAACTCTTCACACACATGGAGCAACGCAATATCGACATACTGTGCTTACAAGAAACTCGGAAAACGAAGGCAGATGTGCACGTACAGAATGGGTATAAATTCGTATTCTCAGACCAAGCGAAGACTCAATATCTTGGGCCGGGGTTGGTTTTGTAGTGGCACCTCGTCTTCGCCGTCACATACAAAGCTTCAAACAAGTTTCTGAAAGAAAATGCATACTCAAATTACGCATCCAAAGCGCAACACTTGCAACCTTCAATGTATATGCCCCGCACAACATGAGGCCGCTCCCGGAACGCATTGATTTTTACAACACGCTGGATAAAGAACACAGGGCGTGCAACGCAAATTTTGCAAAATTCTCCATTGGAGACTTCAACGCACGAATCGGGCGAAAACACCCTGGAGAAGAGGACGTCGTTGGAGAATTCGGGTGGGGTCGCGAAGCCATCCACGTAGTGGACGCACCAAATCGAGATTTGTTACTGGAATTCTGCATGGGCGCAGATATGCTCATCGCAAACACTTTCTTTGACGAGTGTTTGGAAAGAAAGGTAACTTTCCGAGAACCAGGAGTGCGACCGTTTTCGCCAATCAATCTTGCAACCCATAATATCTTGGACATTGTGCTCTGCAGACCTTGCATGCTGGATGCAATCAAAACTTTACGGAGTCATCGAGAAGCTGCTTTAGCCACCGAACATTTTTTACTACTTTCGAGATTGCGGTTCACATGCAACCGAGAAGACAAACACAGTGCCGAAAACGCGATTTGACAGCCCTGGACGACGACACCATTCGCATTCAATTTGTAGAATCATTCATGGCACACACGGTGGAGACGCACAATGTGGAAGATCTTTGGGCCAATGCTAAGGATGCGGCGGCCATTGCGAAAGCAAAGCTACCTTTTCGGGAACGTACGACACAACGACCATGGGTTACGCAGCATACTTTGGATTTGATTGCGGAGCGAAATACAGCACGATTGTCGCACAACAAACCTTTGGAGAAAGAATTGTTGAAAGAAGTGCGACGCGCAGTCAAACGAGATAGAACAACATGGGTTGATGACGCCATTGCTGCAGGAGACTGGGGTTCGCTGAAGAAAATGTGCCGGCCAAAATCGCACAGACAAGGCAGGCTCCGCAATCTGCAAGGCGAAATAGTGGGCAGCGAAGAGAAGACAGAGACTATGGCGGAATATTTAGAAAAAGTGGAATGGAAAGTGCGCCCGGCGACAATTGCGGATACGGGTTCCTGGGGGCCCACTCTGAACATCCCAGATGATGATTTCACAAATAAAGAAGTTTGAGCCGCCATCTCCCAAGTGAAACGTGGAAAATCCAGCGGACCTGACGACGTGCCGGCCGAGAATCGGAAAGCACTGGCAACAGACCTTCAAGGCCTACAGTGGATTACACATATGGTGAACGCACGTTGGAGGAACAAACAAGTTCCGGCAGAATGGCGCCATGCACATGTGTCTACAATATATATATATATATATAACAAAAACTGCTGATCAATGCGATAATTACCGCCCGAACAGTCTGCTATGCGTAATATACAAATTGCTTGCAACTCTTTTACTTGAAACTCCAGCGAGCAGGGGCGGAAGATCGACTCACCGCAACGCAATTCGGTCTCAGAAGGCAACGGGGGACGCCGGATGCTATCTACACAGAACGCCGTCATACTGAAGCATCCCATGCGAGACGGGATGGCAAACTCGCCCTACTGGCGTTGGACTGGAAGAAAGCATTCGATTCAATCAATGTTTTGGCCCTCTTGGGCGCATTGGAAAAATGCGGTGCGCCCGCTCGCATGCTTCGCATCACTGGCCACATATGTGAAAACAGGAAGTTTCGCGTGGCTGCAGGCCCGAAGCGGTCCAGCGAACGGAACCAATTGTCTGGGATAGCACAGGGGTTTCCGCTTTCACCTTTCCTGTTTGCGATGGCGATGAGCGCAGCAATCAACAGCGCAGAAAACAAATTGGACGAAGAGACGCGAAGGTCTTTGATTCAAGGGGAGACATCGATTCTTCTATATGCCGATGATACTCTATTGGCGGGCCAAACCGAATACCACTTGCAACGCGTTTTGGGCGCGATCGCGGAGGCAGGGGAAGAGATCGGCATGGGACACATTGGAACAACTTCCAATTATTTCAGAGAGCTTGCGACTTTCGCTTGCGAGATCCACGTGGGAACATCATCAAATCAGGCGAGCATCTTCTATATTTGGGGACAATTATATACCGATGGGAGGCCCCAGCGCGAACTCAACAGGCGACTCGGGGCCGCGTGGGGCGAATTCCAAAGATACGCGAGAGCATGGAAACATACGTCAATACTTATACAAAGAAAGCTTGAAGTGCTTGGGGCGCTGATTACCAGCAAAGTCATGCATTCTTTGAACTCAGCCTGGCTGAACAAACGAGAAAGAAAGAGATTGGATGGATTCCAAGCGCGCTGCCTTCGCCAAATCATGAATATTCCTCATTCGCGCGCGTCTAGAATATCAAATAAAACAGTTTTGCCCAGGGCCGGGACATCAATGCATAGTTCGCAATTGTTGAAGCATCAAATAATATGTCTTGGGAAGATAGGAAGATCAAGCGCTGACGACTTGCTGAGACAATTGACTTTTCAACCAAACAGCATGCGACCTTTCACCGACTCGCGCGTTCGGGCCCCCGGGCGCCCAAGGCACGAGTGGGCAAAAAGCTTATGCAATCAAATCCGATATTGTTTCCATTCAGAGTCAGACTTATTGGACTGCCTCACGAACGAATCTGTCTGGATCGCATTTCTCACGAAGTTTGCTCTTGTCCGCCACTCTCACGACAGCGATGAAGAATGGCTGTAATAACTATTGATTGCCTCTGTACCCTGGCAGGCTGCAAAACAATGGCTTCTTGCTCTTCGTCCTCCTCTCCTCCGCCCTCCCGGCGCGCATTTGGCGCGTCCTGGCCGCCTTGTGCGCGCATTTGGCGCGCAACTGCCATTGCTGGCGCGCATTTGTAATGCCCGCGCGCTTTTGGCGCACGGCTGCTTCGCCCGTTCGTTCGGGCGGCATTGTAAGGTCCCGCGGCTTGCATTTTAAGGCCCCGTGGGGCCCAGAGTTGAGGTCCCGGCGGGGCCATTTGCAAGGTCTTGCGGGTAGGGTTCAAGCAGCCGCGGGGGTGGTTGCCAGGTCCCGTGGGAGGCCCATGGAGGGGTCGAGTGCACGGCAAGTGTTAGGTGTCGCTGGGACCCCATAACGAATGTTTGTCATTGTGTACCCAATTAGTAAGATGTTGCACTGTGAATCTGTAAACTGTTTAGTGGTATCTCGGAGGCGTAATCTATGTGGTGTTAGCTATGCCGTGAAACGTATACAATACAGCATTTGTGTATGAACTGCGAAGTGCAATCTATGCGGTGTGAATCACTTGCTCATCTTGAAGCTGCCCTCTCCACTGCTCGTGCAAACATCCTGCCCTCCAACCCGCAACTTGGTCGCAAGACCTCTTAAGACCGTGACGGCGGGTACCAAATTGCACTTGGCAACGACACCGACGCCGACGACAACAGCGGCAACGACGACGACGACGACGCCGCCGACAACGACTACGACGACCCCGACGACGTCTCCAACGATTTCGACGACGACGACAAGGACGACGACGACAACACCGACGCCGACGCCGACGCTGACGACAACGACGACGATGGCAAGCCGACGACGACGACGCCGCCGACGACGCCGCCGACGACGACGACGCCGACGACGACGACGGCGACGACGAAGGCGACGACGACGACGACGACGAAGAGGACGACGACGACAATGGAGGAGGGAGGACGACGACGGCGACGACGTCAACGACGAGGGAGGAGGGAGGACAATGACGACGACGACGACGACGGCGACGAAATAG